TAGCGTTCTGGATACGCTTCAAGGTGCTGGTTATGACCTTTAAAGCCCTTTATGGTCTTGGGCCTGCCTACCTGCGGGACCGCCTTTCCCCGTACGTTCCCCCAAGAGCACTGAGATCTGAATCCCAGAATCGCTTAGTCCCCCCTGGCCCTAGGGACGCTGAGTTAACAGCGACGAGAACCAGGGCGTTTTCCTTAGCTGCACCAGTATGGTGGAATCAGCTCCCGAATGAAATCCGCGCTCGGTGGGATCTCCATCAATTCCGCAGAGCGGTAAAGACTGAGCAATTCCGCCAAGCGTTTAACAGCCCAGATCAAACGCTCTAGCACTTTATATGGATGGCCGCCATGTGCAAATTGTAATGCTCTAATTGTAATTTTATTGTTAATAAGTTATATTGGCTGTTTTATTGATTATTTTTAGATGTACTGCATTAATCTTTACTGGGTTTTAATTGTTGTAAGCCGCCCTGAGCCGCTTTGGCGGGAGGGTGGGATAAAAATCTAATTGATAAAATAAAATAAATAAAATTGAAGCCATCCATGCTTGTAGCCGCTGCCGCCTCCTGTGGCAGTGAATTCCAAGTGTTAATCACTCTTTGGGTGAAGAAGTACTTCCTTTTATCCGTTCTAACCCGACCGCTCAGCAATTTCATGGAGTGCCCACGAGTTCTTATATTGTGAGAAAGGGAGAAAAGTACCTCTTTCTCAACCTGCTCTATCCCATGCTGTTGGGAGTTACAAGTTAAAACACTGTTCAGTATTTACTGGGTTAATACTGTTTACTAAATCACATATTTGTTTGTAACCAATGAGTTTAGAGAGCTAGAAAACCCGGTAACTACAGATCTAGTTTGTTGTTCTGATTGGAGAATACAGTGGCTAGTATTAGCATTTTATGGCTCTTTGTCCTGAACAAGAAGAAGTTAGTCTCCATTAGACCTCTGCCATGTTCTGTCTAGCTGTGAGGATGTAGAAATATAGCTCTTTGTTATTTTTCATCCCATATACCTTTTCCCATGCTAGGTTGTAGTAAACTTTTATATTTTAAACACACCATGGACTCTGACTCTTTAATACTTTGCTGAATGCTGATTACTCTGCTAATCAACTCTAGAAATTAATAACAATAACCCAACAACTTGTAAGAGTTTGACTGGATTGTGCCCCAACTGCGTTGGGGTAGGCAAGCTTAACTCACCGCAGTGGAGGCCTACTGCTATTTATTACCTTAGCTAGGGATGCTGGAACACACACACCCCTTTGGGGGATGGGCCCCCCGCTGCCAGGGCCAACCTTGCTGCGCAGATCAGCTTGTTGGTGGGGTAATTATCCTCCAGACAAGGGAAGAACACCTGACATTTCAGCGACATGCCTACGTGACTTACAGATGGACCCAGAGGTGACGTAGGCATGTCAGGGCAATGCTCTGGTTTTTGGGAAAAAGCTACAGTAGAAGCTAATTCTACCATAGAGTTTTCGCCCCCAAACCAGAGTGTCTCCCCTGACACCACCAACATGCCTACATCACTTCCGAGTCATACTGGAAGTCACATGGGCACGTCCAGGGCTCTTTTTGTAGAAAAAGCCCAGCAGGAACTCATTAGCATAATAGGCCACACCCAATAGCAGGAACTCATTAGCGTATTGGGCCACACCCCTGACAGCACAGCTCATTAGCATATTAGGCCGCACCCCCATGTTACCAGAAGTGTGGTAATCCAGCCACACCCACCTTTTGCTTCTTATTCTGTTTACTTTGTTGTCCAAACCCAGGGCTTTTTTTGTAGCAGGAACTCCTTTGCATGTTAGGCCGCACACCCCTAACGTAGCCAATCCTAATGAGTTTCTGCTGTTGGGTGTGGCCTATTATGCTAATGAGTTCCTGCTGGGCGTGGCCAACTTGGGAGCCAGCCAGAACTCCGTTCCTGTGTGTTCCTGCCCAAATCTTGATCAGTCTCTGCCAGGTCAGACCCCATCAACGTGTATTTATATTTAGGATTTTTGGCTCCAATGTGCATCACCTTGCACTTGGCCACATTGAACCCCATTTGCCATGTCGACGCCCACTTGCCCATCTTTGACAGATCCCTTTGGAGTGCCTCACAATCCTCACTGGTTTTCACCACCCTGAACAACTTCGTATCATCCGCAAATTTAGCCACTTCACTGCTTACTCCCAACTCCAAAATCATTAATGAACAAGTTAAAAAGCAGTGGACCAAGTACTGATCCCTGCGGTACCCCACTGCTTACCTCCCTCCACTGAGAAAATTGCCCATTTATACTCACTCTCTGTTTTCTATTAATTAGCCAGTTTTTGATCCACAAAAGGACCTTTATCCCATGCTTTTTGAGCTTACTTAGGAGCCTTTGATGAGGAACTTTATCAAAAGCTTTCTGGAAGTCAAGGTAAACAATATCTATTGGATCCCCCTTGGCCAAATGTCTGAACACCCCCTCAAAGAACACTAACAGGTTAGTGAGACAAGATCTTCCCTTACAGATCGCATGCTGAGTCTGCCTCAATAGGTTTTGTTCATCAGTGTGCCTACCAATTCTTTCCTTAATAACAGTTTCCACCAACTTATCCGGTATCGACGTCAGACTGACTGACTGATTGTATTGTATTGTCTGGGGGGGGGGGTCAGGGTTGGTGTCTCCGGTTCCCCACCTTCGTGCCCCCTCTGGCGTGGGAGAAAGGCAGGTGATAACTATTCTGATAAAGGAAAGGAAGGTCTCCAGCGGTGGCCGGAGGAGTGGGCAGGGAGCTGGGCCAGGGGGTTTCCTCGCCAGAGAGCCAGAGCAGCCCCCCCCCCCCAGAGAAGAACTCTCCAGGCCCTGGCTCAGGAATCGGGTTGGGGTGTCCCTGTATGCCTCTGTTGGGCTCCTCCCTGGGAAGCTTCCCTGCCTCTTCCCCTTGGCGCCCTGGGAGGGTCTGCGGGCCCACTAGGCGGCCACAGTTGTGGGAGGCTCTCCCCGGTGGGCTATGAGGTGATGCAGAGTCCCTTCTCGGGCCACCATGCGGCCCAGCCCCTAGACCCAAGAGGAGGAGGAGGAGGAGGAGGCCGCTTGTTGAGTTCGCCTGCCCTCGGATAGCATTTGATTTGCCTGCTCTCGTTCCAGACGAAGGGGGCTGGATGCTCTGCTGCCCTGATCTTCTCTTCCGCCCACCTTGCCCTCAGCCCCAATCCACGGGGCTCACCAGTGTTGCCCAGCCCAGCCCAGCCCATCAGCCCTGGGCCACTTGCCAGCTCCCCCCCCCATCGCCCCCGCCGCCGCAGTGCCACGTGACTCTGCCGTTTCCTCTTGCACTTCATCAGCCATGCAAATCTTCAGGGCTTTCCCGACATCTGACTTCTCTTCCCCAGCGAGCCCCATCTCCCAGGGCTTCTACGTTCATCTACAAGGGGGCAGACTGGGAAGGGACTTCCCCGCAAAAAGGAGAAGGAGCTGCTGTCCGGGGCCAGGCGACTCAGCCGTCAGAGACAAATAATGGGCTTGGAGTCTCTTGGGTAAAGCCCAAAGTGGCATTTGAGGGGCAAAGGAGGTGTTTTGGAAGTGCCTTCCTCAGCATTCGCTGACAATGCGCCTTTTGTCTGGTCTGGGCAGGAGCCCCGAAAGCCCAGTTCTGCAAGTTGTCAGTGTGTGTCTGTCTAAGTGGAGGGCAGACATTGGCTGGTGCCACACCCCGGAGCAAGGAGGGGGAGCAGAGACACAGTTTGGCGGCTGCATTATGTCAAGGGAGGGCTTTGCTTTCATGGTGGCCCAGAATAAGCCGAGTCTCTGAGTCTTGATCGAGGTGGCCCAGGCGAGCCAGGGCTCGCTAAATCTCAGAAGTGAAGCATGGTCAGGCCCTGGTGAGTACTTGCATGTATTTGGATGGGAGACCGCAGAAGCAGTCCAAGGCTGTCTCTTGACCTGACCCTAGTCCGACACTCTGTATACCAGAGTGCCAGATGGACAGTTGGCTTTCCTCCTTCCTTCCCCCAGCAGGGTCTTCCTGGAAGAAATCTGGCCAAATGATGAAAGTCACATGGCAGCGGATCGCTCCTGTGAGTTGTGTGGTGGCCCCTGCCAGGCCCGGCCAAGTCGCACAAGCCATGTCTGGCAGCTGCCCCTCCGTTCGTGGAAACAGCGTGGCATCCAGCCATCTGGTCAGCACCGCTGCACCCGGATGAGTCATGGGAACTGCATGGTGGTGGTGGTGAGCCGCCCAAGAAGTTGTGGGCAGTGGCCGCTGTCCCGCAGTAATGAGTGGTAGCGCTGGATGGCAGCCGGCAAGAGGGTCAGCGGACCGGGGGTGGGGACATGAAGGAATGGCATCGAGTGATGCTGCAAGGTGATTTTCAGACGAAAACCCCCAGAGCTGAGATCACTGCACTGCATGACCATAGAGATCATCAAGGAGACTCCTGAATGTCACTTGCTGCAGTGCTGTCATTTCCAGTTTTTCTGCTGGGAATGATGTGACATCATGTGACACTATTCCCTGCCCCATTCCCCCCCCCCCCCCCTAAACTGAGCACCATTAGGGGGACAGGGAGTTCTGGTGGGGGATCCCTGATGGAAGCAAGCAAATGGCAACTCTAGAGTTGCCAAGTGGTTATTGCTGGCCTTGCTGAGTAATGCAGTCATGGTAGCAAGTTGCTCAGTGGTTCCTGGCTTGAATGAGTCTTCCCTCCAGGGCAGCAAGAGCAGCGCAGAGCAGGGGTGGGCTGGGAGGCCAAAACTATCCCGGAGATGGTTGGGAGGCCAAAACTATCCCGTAGAGGATTGGGAGGCCAAAACTACCCATCCCCCCCGTCTTTTAATGACAGAAACCGAGGCTTGAAGGCTGCCAGTATTGTTGTGGTTCACTAGCAACCCCCACAGTGGCCACTGAGATTACAGAGGGCATTCATTTTTTAAAACCATGTCTTGATTCCAGTGTAATATCAAGGGTGACCAGATTGTCATGTATTTTTCAACTGACAAGAATTTCTGTGACCACATATATTTATAAGTCTTAATTTTGTTCATCATAACAAACCAGCCATTAGAACATAAAAGAAGCCAATGTTGGATCAGGCCAATGACCCATCCAGTCCAACACTGTGTCACACAGTGGCCAGAAATACCAGGTGCCATCAGGAGGGCCAGCAGCAGGGCTAGAACTCCAAAAGGATTCCCAACTGTGCCCCCCCAGCACCAACAATACAGTACATCACTTGCCCAAGACTGAAAGTCCCTACCTATACCATGTGGCTAATAGCCACTCATGGACTTCTGCTTATCTTATGTTTACCCAATGCCCTTTTGAAGCCGTCCATGCTTGTAGCCGCCACCACTTCCAGCAGCAGTGAATTCCACGTGTTAATTACTCTTTGGGTGAAGAAGTACTTCCTTGGATCTGTTCTAACCCGACTGCTCAGCAATTTCATGGAGTGCCCACGAGTTCTTGTATTGTGAGAAAGGGAGAAAAGTATTTATTTTTCCACCTTCTCTTTCCCATGCATAATTTTGTAAACGTCTATCATGTCACCCCTCAACTGTCATTTCTCCAAGATAAAGAGCCCTGATGTCTTTAGGTGTTCCATCCCCTTAATCATTCGAGTTGCCCTTTTCTGCACTTTCTCCAATGCTATAATATCCTTTTTGAGGCGTGGTGACCAGAACTGTACACAGTACTCCAAATGAGGTTGCACCATCGATTTATACAGGGGCATTATGATTTGTTTTCAGTCCTCTTCCCAATAATCCCCAGCATAGCATTTGCCTTTTTTATTGCAGTCCCACATTGAGTTGACGTTTTCAGTGAGTTATCTACTATAACTCCAAGATCTCTCTCGGGGTCAGTTACTCCCAGTTTCAGATCCCCTCAACATGTATTTATAGTTAGGATTTCTGGCTCCGATGTGCATCACTTTGCCCTTGCCCACATTGACCCTCATTTGCCACACTGACGCCCACTTGCCCATCATCAACAGATCCCTTTGGAGTGCCTCACAATCCTCACTGGTTTTCACCACCCTGAACAACTTCGTATCATCTGCAAATTTAGCCACTTCACTGCTTACTCGCAACTCCAAATAATTAATGAACGAGTTAAAAAGCACCGGACCCAGTACCAAGCCTTGCAGTACCTCACTGCTCACCACCTTCCGTGGTGAAGACTCACTCTCTGTTTCCTGCTCATTAAGGTAAAGGTAAAGGTTTCCCTTGCTCGAAAGCCAGTCGAGTCCGACTCTAGGGTTGCGGTGCTCCTCTCCGTTTCAAAGCCGAAGAGCCAGCGCTGTCCGAAGATGTTTCCAAGGTCATGTGGCCGGCATGACTAAAGACCAAGATGCACGGAACACTGTTACCTTCCCGCCGAAGTGGTACCTATTTATCT